AGCAATATCAGCACACTTGCCTCTGTTTCTCTTAGCAAGAGCTCTTCGAGCTTGCTAGAAACAAAATGCCCAACAATCTGCATCAGTGACTGACACAAAGTTGAGCAAGCAGATTTCTGCCACAGCAGGCACTTATTGTGGCGGAAAGTGACCCTAAGGCCAGGGTGAATAACTGCTAGAGATTTTACTATGTTATCTACTCGCTTCAATTCTTCAGCAGCACGACGGCCTGAATTCAGGTAATTCTTTCTGACTGGAACTTTTCGGAACAACCCAGACACAGTCACCAATGTGCCTGAAATTTGTAATCACAGACAGACTGATAACAGCCTGAACAAAAATTGAACAATCAATCAAGTTAAAGACTAATTAAATAAGGAAATATGGAAGGCATAATTAAACTCAGAAAAGCCAATGTAGTGCATGTATCTTGACAACTATAAGTATAAATCAATTTCATTTAAATATATATGTAATAGGCAGGGGATAATTTCCAACAAAATTTTATGAAAAAAAGTTACATGTGGAATTCTTCATATGTAAGTTTTTGTTTGTTATGAAGTCAAGGATACCATATCCTTCAACATTTAAGTAAAATAAACTTTAACATAGCTTCACACAAGAAGCATACTGTCATTAATCTAAGATCCACACAAATCTTCCAGTTAGATTCTTCTTACCTTTATTCAAATGAGAGGGTTTGGCTGTAACAATGTTTCCACAATCATTTACAGCATATGCCATTGCAAATTCATCTTCACTTGTCCGAGTTGTGACAGTGACATCTGCCACAGAACATATGGCACTTAAGGCCTCACCACGAAAACCGTATGTCTGAAGTTTGTCTAAAACAACACAAATGACAATCCAAATATATCATCTGTAGTGCAATACGGTAAAAAGCTGACATTCCCAGCAATGTTCTAGCTCGTCACTTCACACACACACACACACACATATATATATATATATATATATATATATGCTCCGTCCTACTTCTTTGCATCCAGACGTTTGTCCATCTATTTTCCAATACAATCTGTTTCTTATTTATTTTAGGTTAGATCTGAATTAGGTGGGATAGAAAGTTGTATCCAATCCATTCAATGGGAAAGATACCCCAACAATAAGTAGGTTTGCTCTTCAGCTTGTCACCACAGAGGAGGCTAACATAAAATACTTTTGGAGCAGATAATAGTTGCATACACCAGATAAGCAACAGCCTGTTGACTGGCTCTGTTGCTTCTTATTACAGCTCCTCTTTCTCCGTACTTCGCCCACAAGGCTAAAGAACTTAGGCCTTACTACAGATATCTGTAATGATGTGCAAGATGGTGAGATGAGAATGCTGAACAGAATGCACATGCGTATAATCTGAGTTTTTGAAACACCATGCATAACACTTACCAAGATCTTCATATCCACATACTTTTGACGTATAACATGGCAGGCACATATTTGGCATGTCTGTTTTTGCAATGCCACAGCCGTCATCCTTAACCTCAATCAGATCCAATCCGTTACCTTCCTGAAACACAGTTGCATTTATGCAAATCTCTTCCATGAATTTAAAATTTTCTTACTTCACATTTTATTGATAATAGTTATGTTTGCAAAATGTCATGCTTACAAGTTTTATATCGATATTTGTAGCTTCAGCATCCAGTGCATTTTCCACCAACTCTTTTACAACACTTGAAACAGAAGTTATTATTTGTGCACATGTTACGAGTTTTGATGTTGATGTAGGAAGTCTTTGCATCGGCATATTTCACAGTTCTAGAAAAACCCAACTGTTTGTATATGAATCATTCTTCCACTTTATATAATTTCTTATTTCGGCGCGTACATTCAATGAGACAATACGTTACCAACCTTTCACATCCAAAATGCCAACGTCTGTTCCGAAGTTGGGTTAATATTCAGGTCACAGATAAACACCGTCCATCCATTCGAAAGGTTGTAGTGATATGCTGCGAGCTTGCATTTGATGCCTGTGTTTTGAGGGTATTTGTTTGTGCTTCTGTCGACAGTTATACTCTCAAACCAATTAATAAAATATTTTGTTTCCATTTTGTTATTACTTTTTGTTTTAATGAATCAATAATTTAATCGAAACATTATAAATAATTAAGTCAAATATTACTGACAATTTCAGTATAAAAGCTAAAGAGCAGCATTACTTACATCTCAACGCTATTGTAAAAATAAAACGTTTACACGTTTTTTCTCAAAATTCAACCCAAATTAGTTTCAAGAACAGCAATTAAAATGTATTATGTTATTTTTTAATCATTAATTATAAATAAGTGGAGAGGGAAGAGACTTGCTTGGAATTCCATGATAGAACTGACAAGTTCCAACAAATTGGATACCAAGATGTACAGATGAAACCTAATGCGTTTCAATTCCTCGAATTCTATTGTGCAAATTAAAAGACTAAAATGATAACTAAAAATAAAAATGTTGTAAAAATTTACCATGGTTGAAATGATTTCCCTCAGGATCTGCTGATGTATTTCTCGGAACATGACTGGGTAACGTACATTAAATAAATGATACTGAAGAAGTGAAACACGCAGGACTTTAGCACGTGCATTCGGACATACAATTATAGTTAGTTACAGGTCGAGAAGCGGCATCCCTGGTACATCATTCAGCAGAGCAACACGTTCTTGACAGAAAAATGAGCCAGGCATACTTAACCATCAAAACGAAACCAAAGTCATGACACCGAGAAAGAACTCGTTACTCTAAAATAACTAAAACTGAGATTACAGTGTGTTATAAGTCTTGATAAAAACATTTTCATCCCTTCTCTCCGTCCCCACACAATAGAAATTGCTAAGTTGAAATGAATGCATTGTAAGATGACGTTGTTGCATTGAAAATACTAGTGATGGAATGTTTTATCCTCTAACAGATCAGCATGTGTGGGGCCCCATTTCAGAAATGTTTACTTCTCCCCGCCACAACCGAATCTCCCCTCCTGTCTAAACCAACCACGAATATGATGTCGTCTGCATTCCACGATACGGTTGATGCCATGTCGTTAATACACGATTCTTTGCGTCATAAAAAGAGTCTTTACTAGTCCCATCTTTTTCACTTGCTTGAAGAAATCGCATTCCGTTCGTCTTTCGTCAGTATTGTTGAATGATTTGGTTTTCTCCGGTCGAATTCCAATGAACAAGAAGGTCGAGTCGCTTTTGCCGAATAAAGAAAAAGGATTTTCCTGTCCATATTATGGATGCTGAGTTGTTTATAATAATGATTCCTTAGAGGCAGACAAAGAATGGCACTACATGAATGAAAACGGTTGAACACAGATAATTAGAAGGGGCTTGTTTAAAACACACGATGTCTGTTGCATCTAAAACTCCCACGGCCCCTATCGTCACGTGTTTGAACTATGAAGGAGGCGCTGATGGTCTTCCGAGGAGAGTGGGAGTTCTGCGCTAGTAGGCGATTGTGTTTTGTCCACTTTTTAAAGCATTTTTCTCCCGTTTTGTCGTAGAAAAACAAGTACGAAACGAATCCGAAAATGATCGAAGAACCAATCAGAACGGAACAACTGAGTCAGCTGCGGTATCCGGAAACAATGTGGACGTCCTGCATTTTTCAAATTACATAAAAATTGTCAAAATCTTGTTTATACGAACACAAATCACATAGGTCTATTTTTTTAAATGTCTGCGTCAACACACACAGTATTGTGGCTTGCATTGAAGATTGATGTTTTGAATATTTTTTTCACTGGAACGAATTTATGTCTAGAACCGGAAAGACAGCGTGGATTGTCTTCTGGTTATTATTAATCATAGCAAGAGAAGGTTGGGTTAGTACTTGGAAGTAGGCCACGACTGGGTCTCATCGATTCAATCCCATACACATAAAGAGAATTTAGACTTGCATCATAGTGAACACAAAACAACGTCCGGACATATTCCTGAGGTAAAATTTATTATTTATTACTTGTGGCTTATTTAACAATGCTGTCAGTAGCTCAGTCCATATAACACTTAATTACAGGACCAATGACTAATGAGTTGTACGATATATGGAAGGAAACGGTTGTGACCTAATTTAAGGTACCATCCCGGCATTTACCTGGAGGGACTAAGGAAAACCAGAACAAAAGAGAAAACCTCATTTAGAATGGCCGGCTTCCAAACCGAGAATTTAACCCGGGACCCACTAGATAGGAAGTGGACCCCAGTGTCGATCTGGAAGTTGTGACGGATAGGAAAATTACAAATTCTGCAAGCTTACTGTAAAAAATTTGAACAGCTGTTAACTGTTCATAGTGAATGGCTTTGTAACTAACACTCTGGTAGTAGAATCAGAAATGGCATGTTTTGCTGGCAACATTTCCAGCAAAACACGCAATTGGAAAAGATCCTAAGTCAGTTCTAAGTACTTATCTGCAGTATAACGCCAAAACATTAGTTGTATATAGTTATTGAAGTAGACCTACAAAAAAAATTAACTAGACCTATTAACAGCTGATTTTTATTTACTACTTTTAAACTCTAATCAGTTGTCTCAAGTTGTTAAGACGCGAATTAAACTGAGCCTGAAGTAAGCCTCCACTCGATTTCTCATGTCATAGTTGTAAATACAATTATAAACGTCTCATTATTAATATTGTCTGAACTCTGCTGCTGGCAGGAGTTTGTATGTTTTTTCGCGTGCGGTATTTTACCTTCAGGGATAGAATCGAACAAGAAAGCTGTCAGTTCAGCCGGTCTTCGTCAAGCATCGAAGAGAAGTGTTGTACGCTACCCCGCGATTTGTGATCTTCAGCTTCCCATCCGAAAGGGCCTGAGGCTCTCTCCCCACGGGTATAAGCGTGACCACTCACCGCCACCCAGTGCTCAGATTCAGAATCCGTGGAGCTTTACCTCCGCTCTCAATATACCCTGTTTTTCATCTAGAAACAAAGCGATCACAGCTGAGCCTTGGAGAGAAAAGTCAGCAACGGAATTAACACTGCCTTGAAAACGTAAACTATCTTGTCTGGGCATTTTTCGGAGGACCTGACTACGAGTCAAAGCGGAAGTTAGACTAGTCGATGCTCGTCTGTTGGACTGTAACACCGTGTTCACTCGTTGGTACATAAACGTGTTTTACAGAAACAGATTCATAGTGTCTCCAACCTCAGGGCTGAAGCCCTGAAGATACAGTCACCACCTTGAAAACACCAAATCTTACATAAGAGAGACTTGATCGGTTGGAACATCTTACAGAGCGAGTTACCACATCCGAGCTATTTTGAATATTACCAAATCAAATCCCGAAATTGACTCTTAAGTTTCCTAGCGTTCTTTGTGAAAAGTACGTAAAATTATGCAGAATTAGATGGAATTCTAAGATGTCTGTCTTATGGGTTGTTGCGCCATGTATTCTGGTAGAAGTTTACCGACGTTTCAGAGGTCCTTGCTGCTCCATCATCATGGTGATAAGTAAGCCGTGCTAGTGGAAAATGCTAGAGTTGTAAGGACCAGACAGTTAATGAAAAACCTAATCCTAATCCTAAATCCTACATAGAGGGAATTCGTTGTTGTTGGTCTACACTATACATTGCAAGTCAAATTTAATTGTGATTCGTATAGGTATCCTTTTACACATGAAATACAAATCAGAGTTTGTGGTTTTCAATAAATTTAATAGTTTAAAATAAAATAATCCCGAAGGGATTTATGGTTTTCTGTGTCTATCAAGGCTAATGCCGAGAGAGTGCCTTGAAATAGACCAATCTTTACCTACTGTCATTTGTCATGATTAGTTCTCATTTGTTAGTCGACGCTCTATTGTATAACCTGTGCAGTAGAAACGGTGTCGTCAGTTAACGCCAATCTACGTTAAAAATAAAAAAATATCTCCACTGTGAAGAGAGATGCACAACCTAAGGGGATTTCCATTATGTTCAGAAATCGCGCGTCAACTTTCACGCGTAGCTCACGACGACGCAAGGAAGAAGGCGCCGTTGGAACGTGCAACTCCGGTCTCTCAGTTTGTGACACATGTAATAAAAATCCGCCAAAGGAGTCTGGAATTAAACTGTGCGACATGTGGGCAGACAAACAACTGGACACGGTAAACTCAAGAGACGTTCTGCATGCTAAGTAGGCTTATTCGTAGCTACAGTCACAGAAAGAGAATTTATTTAAAGAGTTCTAACTTTCGTGGTTTGTACAAAGAAAAAATACTGTATGTAAAACGTTTAATCAAACACTATAAATACTTTATTATATTTACTGTAACTATACCTGAAAGTGTATTACAATTTCCCTCTTACCTGGAGCTTTATAGATGTGTGTGTTTGCTTTTTGTGTCACCCTGTTGGGATAATGGCATGTTCTTCCCATCTACAAAGTGCGAAGAGGGGCAAATTCGCTTGCCAACACTAGTAACGACGTTAGTGCCTTTGACGACATGTGACGGTCAAAGGCCTTGCTTGTGCAGTGGGTTTTCTAGACAGCGCAACCGTGAAGCGTTATCGGTTGGACCAACTTGACGGCAGGAGTGTACGACTCTGCCGTCAAAGTCCTGGTACGCAGAAAACTGTCTGTATTATTAATTTCGGCATGAATAGCGTGCAGTATGGGTTAAACTGCTGAAAGACGGTAGTAGTTCATTGTCTTTTAACAAAACCAATATTTCCACACGTTTTACAAAGAGAGAATTGTCATAGTTATTAAGTGACGTGTGTGTCAAGATTTCTTAAATCTATTGTTTGTTTGTTTTTTAATCTGCGTCAGTGCA